AAACGAAATTGCTTGTTGTTCTGCAATATGTTCTTCCCAGTAGCTGAAATACTCTTTGGAAAGTATGTACAAGAATTTAAATGCAAGTATTAATTAATGGCTTAGACTGTCTAGTGAGTTTCCTCTTACGAGATTTGACTGTTGGTAGTTGTGTGTGCAGGGGGTTGGGATTTTTTAGGTTGGGACAGAAAACTGGATGCAACAGAAGCATAGTGTTGAGTTATTTCCTTTTTTAGGAATGTTATGTTTGCAATGTTGATTTTAAGAATATCTCTAAATAGTGAGGGAAAAGGTTATTCCTCAGTCAACTACCTATGTGTGCTCAGAGAGTGGCCCTCTTATATCTGTTGGCCATAGACATTTAATGCAGGCTCTCACTTCCTTCTGCTATTTAAGCAAGCAAATTAAAAACCTGAAGATTTCCCTTTGGGAAGGAAGAGAATATGGCAATGAAACTGAACACAGCATGTTCTGCTCTCATGTCTTTCTGCCTGCTTGAGTCTCATGAAATCACATGTCTTCAGTTTTACAGAAGGTGACATGAAGTAGTGTCTTTTACATTTTAGGTCTCTGAATGGCTTCTGCACTCGCCAGATATTTTTTCAGAACACATATATGGAGCTTGGGGAAATCTGTTGATAGTATTACTGGTGCTAGTGCTGGTAAGATTTTGGAAATCTTTCTTCTCTCAGTTGTTTATTTAAAAGGATGGAAGAGAAGACAGGTATTGTAGTTTGGGGCTAGGCATAATGTTTTCTCCACTGTTCATTTGCAATTGCATCTGAATTTTTGATTCAATACTTTTCAACAGCTAATGAATAGTATATCACACATCTGTTTAAGAACCGTACAATGCTCTAACTGTTTAAAGATAGGAATTCAAAATCAGATTTTTAAGTTAAAAAGGTGTTTAAAAAAATTAGGTGTTTCTGACCTCAACAGAGCATTTTTAGTGTGGGGAGTGGGAACTTGTGCTCTATCTTGATAAGTGAGGAGCCTAAAGGAGACCTGTCGCTGTTTAGTTATAGGAAGCGTTTCACAAAAACGTACTAACTCATACCTCTGCAAGTCTTTGTCAGGGATCAAAAACAGAATTCCAAATTTTATGTCCTGATTAAAGATCTCTTTATAACTGGACTTTGCCTACAATGTTAGAGGTGAAAAGCTGTACTATCTTTGAAATTGTTAAGAGGTACTTGCTCAGAGAAGCAAATCCTGTGGTTTTTAGATGTTTATTTTTAGGTCTTTATGGTTTCATTATGGGAATACTGGGAAAAAAAATCTGAGGCAAGAAAACCTTCATCTAGACAGTAAAGTAATATGAGTTTGTAATTCCTTTTCTCCCTTTGCAAATATGAAGAACTTCTGGTTTTACAGCAATATGGTGGGTGAACTACTGATGTTTTTAAAATCACTGCTGTGGCTAATTATCTCAGTGCAGTCACTTAAGTATGCATCATTGCACTCTTCTCTATCTTCCCACTTCCCTTTGAAAGTGGACACAACCCTTCTCTGCAAGTAATGATAGTAACTGGTAGTAAGACAGACCTGTTACTCATCCTTTTTTGAACACATTTCTTATGGCAGATGTCTAGTTTTTAATTAACTGATAATGAACATGCCTAGTAGACCATGATACTGCTGCCAACTTACTCCGTTTTATATCTCACTGCTGCTTAGCTCTTAAAAGGTTACAGAGCAGGCATTAGTGTCTTTGAAGTGATGGGAAAGTGAATATATGTATAAAATAATTGTTTCTAGGATCTACTATGGCAAATGTTTAGTTACTAAATACATCTGGTGAATGCTGCTGTTATCCATCTCCCTGGTTGTTAGTTTCTTCCTTTGTGTGCAGCATATATTCCTTTTATTCCTTCCAAAAAGAGAATACAATATACTTTTAACAATTCAAGCTTTTTAAATAAAAAGAGTATGAACTTCTGGAAAGGATCATCTTTATATGTTAGGGAGAACTTTCAACCTATTATCAATAGCTAATATACAAGCTGCAAATCAAGAAACTAAAGTCTTAAACAGCACTTCAGATAATAAACATGAAATCCTAATATAGCTTTGGTGGCTTAAAAGACCATGGTCAGAATTTCAGCCTTAAGCTGATTTAATTTAGTGACATATCTTTGTCTACCATGTCCCTAAGTAACCATTTGCAAAGCTGCAAAGGTGTGCAGAGCAGCTTTGCAATGCACTTGCAGCTCTCATACTCTGTTCTACGCCTTACACTGAACAGTGTTCCCCCCTGTCCTTGTGCAGTACTGTCAGAAAACACTGGACAGCACTCCTCATTATGTGCTTTTAGCTTAGGAACGTCTTACAGGAGATTAATCTGTTCCTCATTTCTTGGACTTTCAAAATGTAGGGTGTGTAGGCTACTAAGCAGAGCCAGGGAAATGATAGGTAACATGCCTGTAAGTATTTCTTGAACTGTTAACCTATGCTTCCTGAAGTCAAGTGGAGTGACTTGTTTGCTAATTAAACCAAGTAAGAGTTGCACAGATAAGGGCAATCTTCATGCATTTCTTGAACAGTAGAAATAAGAATGGAAACAACTTCTTTTCTCTGTTTGAACTTTCCCATGATCACACTGCAAAAGAAACTAATTTGAGCTCACTGTTGGAGAAGGGAGGAGGCTTTTCTCCACAAAACCAATTTTGAAGGAATAAATCACTTTTTATTCTCAGGCAATTGCAAGCTGCAATTAGGTAATCAAAGGTGATAGTGCAGCTAGGGACAAGTAAGACCAGTGCCATCAATGCTGCACAGCACTGTTGATTCATGTTTTCTCATAGGTAGAGTGCAGATGACTGACCTGGTTGAAGTGGACAATGAGAAAGGGGAGAACTAAGATATACCATCTCTGAGAGAGCTTGACAAGATATCTGGTTATTGAGGAAATGTGCTAGAAACTACTAAAGTCTTGATAAGTCTGTGAGAAGTTAGATGTCTTCTTGTTCTTTAGATGCTGGATCGGAGAAACAAAACAAAAAAACCCAAACCTCTGCAGTCCTGTCAGACTTTCCAGTGCTTTCTACTGATAGTTCTTCAGTTAAGTGAAATTTCATTAGCAATAGCTGCTTGATACAGTTGAAGGTCTACTGTGTTAACTGCTTAAAACACATTAAAATAGAAGAATAAGAACTACCTCTCTTTTACCTTTTTTCTTTGAACATTCTAGAAAGCTATCAAGAGTGGTGGTCAAATGTATGTATTGCAGTGAAGACTAGCAAGGATTTTTATGCAGCACTTGAAAATAAATTTCTGATATATGGTGTGTGAAAGATTTGGTAAACATGTGGCTTTATAAAATTGACTAAACAGATTGCGATAAATTTTAAGATTTGTCTTGTATATAAAACAAGTCAATGATGGCTGCAAGACAATTGGGACAGCAGAAAAGTGAATAATAAGCAGGTCCAGTCCATAGTTCTTGAATGTCAACCCCTCTGTCTGCATAATTTTACAAACCGCCCAAGGCATGTCTTGGGATGGGGTTATGAGAAGTAAAAGTGTAGAAGTGCAGTAGTTATCTAAATAGTAATCAATAAATTCATTCATATGCCAGTAGATGTTGTACAGGTATTGTTGACAGTTGCTCTTAAAGAGTCTTCGGACCTATAGTAGCAGATAAAATATTCCTACATTATTTTGAGTTGAGGTTTTTTTGTGTTAAATTGTGAAATATTATGAGCTGTAGTCTACGTATGATGTCAGTAGCTGTCAGTAGTACTGTAATGATTTTGCCAGCTCTTACAGGAGTACTAGCATTTACCTGGTCAAACTTGATGTCTAGCTGAGTTCATCCTGTTCAGACATGTGTTTGTCTTCTTTTTGATCCCATGAATTGGGTGGGATCTAGCTTTTTCCTGGTGTCTGCCTTCAGCAGAGAGATAGTGGAGAGTGGCCAAGGTGTAGAGGTTTGTCCTGTCTTCTGTGCATATGCTGAGACACAAGGAAACAGGAAAAAGGCAGAAAATCTGTTTACCTGTAGCAGAATAAACAGGAGCTATAACTAAGCTAAGGATGGTTTTGAAGCTTCATTTTCTAAAAAAATTTGTGCTGAGTATTTTGGACAAATTGGATGATAGCTGAACTTGGAAAACATTAATAAAACTGTTACAGTTTTAACTGGAAAATATCTTAATATTTGAACTATGGGGAAGACATTCTATTATAAGAACTCTGTTTATAAAATTGCTTAAAGGTTATTTTGTCAGATTTGTTATAGGGTTGTATGTCCTTTTATTATGATATTGTTCTTGCAAGGTGCTTTTGAAAAAGATGGAGGTGTTTAAATTCATTAATACCATGTTTCTTGTTGACAATTCCATGACTTCATTAATGCTATCTGGAATACCTGGATTCTGAGCTCAAAGGTGGTTCCTAAACACAATATTAGGTTATGAATAATTCTCCCCCCCCCCCGCCTTTCCCCCAAAAACCTTGGCTAGACTAAAATGCAAATTTAATTTCACTAAAGATGAAATTAAGCAGTATCTTTTACACTTTTTAATATTCAAAATAGAAACATACTTGCTGTTTCCAAATTGGGAGAAGGGAAGGGTGTGAGTTTTAATTAATGTGAAAATTTTTTCATTATTTTCCAGAGCAGGGATATGCCTTTCTATTGAAAGGGACAGATATTTGGACCTTCTGCTGCTGCTCTTTGTCACCAGTGACACTGTGGCAGGCAGTAGCTACCCAAAACAACCTACAGTATTTGAACTTATTCCTCAGGCTGCAAAATACGTACCCTGCTAGCCTTTTTGGGTAATGGGATGTGAACAGACTTGTCCACAGACAGCATGATGTAATGCAGTGTATATAATGTGGTGGGACAGAGGGGAGAGGCTAGATTTAGAACAAGCAAATAAATATCAAAATCCACTATTGATTCTCAATAATTAACCAAACTTCTGCCTTATCCTTCCCAAACTATGTGCTATACGTTATTCTTCTGGGGATGATGATACCACTGGGAACAGCAGCAGCAGTTGCAGGCTCAACATCTCTCTCATGGCCATGGACCTCCAGTGCCTCTAACGCCGCATCCATCTGGACTTCAGCCTCCAGGAATCCCTCCACTTGGAAGCAGTGCTGGCCTTCTTGCCCTTTCTAGTGCTTTGGGTGGGCAGCCCCACTTGGCAATAAAAGATGACAAGAAGCATCATGATGCAGACCACCACAGAGGTGAGAGGCATGGCAGGCCTGATTAGGACACTGTCAGATTTGCACATTGCTGCAAATTATGAGCATCTCTAAAGAATTCAAGTTATATAGAATGAGAAAAAAATGTTGGCAAACTTTAAAATGTCTGCATATATATCACTGAAGCAAAATTCAGCTTGGAATTTTTCAGTATTTTAAAAGGGGATCACTAGGGGTCACCTGCTCTATACTTTAAAGGGCATTTTGACATCCTGGTAAATGCTTAGTTGTAATAGCAGTGGCCTGCACCATATTGTGAAATACTGTTAAACTGCATAATGGGTAATTTTTTCAAGGAAAGTAATGTTGTTAAAGGGGTGGGTGGGAAGGTCGGGGGAACAAGAAGTTAAATTTTGAAGTGAATGTGTTCAAACTAAATACCTAGATAATTGCATCTGTTACTTTAGTTTCATAGGCTTAAATTCTAGTATTCAGTTAAATAGTGGGCAAAATTGCACTTGACTAATTTTTGAAAAGAAAATAATTTATTCTGTCATGAAATAAAACTAGGCTTTGTGTATGGTTAAACTGTAAATCATGTTTACAAAATACTGTAATTTTCAGGAAATCACTGTATTAGGAATGTGCAATGACTTATATAAATAAAAGCCATTTTAAAACTGTTTGCGGCTTGTGTTCTAATTTTTTCCCCCTTTTTTATTTCTGTTCTTGCCTCTGTGTCTGAACGGGCATGTCTGTCCATTTCTTGGTTACTGCGGGAGCAGACAGAGAGCCAGGCACAGTAAGTACCAACATTTGTGCTAATGTTTCCACATCTAGGAGTGTCATAATCAGATGTTCCACTGTTTGTCTGTTTTATTTCCCTTTTAGTAATTTTCATGATACTAGACATATGTGTTTTCTGTGAAGATCTCTCCTGGTTTGTGCAGAACACCAAGTTATTTGTTTGATGGACTATATGAATGAGTTTTATTTTTCAGCAGAATGATTTTTTTTAAGGCAAACTTGAACTTTAATTTGCTTATGGGCAGGTGATGGAGGAGAGGAAAGATGCAAATCAAAAATTGGAAATATAACATTTTTAGTCAGAGTTAAAATTTTTTTCTCTAGGATTTTCAGGATTTAGAGTTGCAGAAAAGGTGAGAAATTTAAATGTGAGGATTTTAAATGTGTCACGATGGTGTTTGGCCCTAGGAGTTTCTTTTACTGCATCAGTTTAAGCCATACTAATGTCTTTAGTGCTTATTTTGTGCTTATGGTATAACTTATATAGTGATACTTTTTTCCCTGTAATAGAATTGGTCTAAGGAAGTGTTATCTGAAAAACCCTATAAAGAAATACTTTGTTACAGCTTTTCGTACTGTTTTGCTTTGAGTGATATTGCTATACTAGTCTGTTGAACCTGAGCATGTGCAGCTTCCACGTCATTTGAAGTTACAAATCTAATTCTGCTTGTTTATATCATAGGTGAATTTGGGCTCTATTTTGTTCCTTTTCTCAATTAAAAAAGACAAGAAGTAGGAAAAGTTATCTGACAGCATTAGGCTACTAACCTTCTGGTTTTTATTGCTGCTTTTTTAATATATATGGTAGGCTTGCTTGACATTTGTTTACTGGAAACTATCTGCATATCCTTTTTGGCAGTCTTTTGCTGTTAGATTACTAAGTAAGAAGCATTCATTTCGGCTTGCTTGATGTTGTTAAAGACAGCATAACCTCAGAAATAATTTCAAGCTGGGTTTTCATGAAGTCTCAGACTTATTAAATACATATTCCTCTGTGTGGGGCATATGTCTTTGAATGAGGTTAGTTGATGGCAGGAATCTCATTAACTATTGTTAGGAGCTAAGGATGTTGCAGTGTGTGTTTGTGCACTTACATGTGCAAATATGGCTTTCTGTTTTGATTTGGTTGTTACATTTCCTGAGCTTGCCCTGTTCCCATCTACCCCTGCCATGTCCATCAGGTAATTTGCTAAAGGGGTTTTGAGTTTAAAATCAGATGTTTCAGTGTTGTGAAATTTGGACTCTGAATTCATCTTTTAGCTAGGAATAGTTGTTGCCTGTGAAAGGAAAACTGTTAAAAACTAAATCTGACTTTTGTTTGTGGGAGAGTTGCTTAATTTATTATAGATATAAATTTTATTTAATTGAACATGTAAATTTGTCACTGTAGTTACTTCTGTCTTTATATGTGTAACTCATGATTGCTTGGTTATTATCTGAAGTAGTCTGGCTTTATGCTGGGTTTACCATTAAGTAACCTTTAAACAATCAAAGACTTTATTTCATACAGGAATTTTACCATGTTGATATATTGATATATATATTAGGTCATGCTAGTTTCTTTTTGGTCTCAGTGGAGGATAATTCTTCATAACTAAATTAAATCTTAATAGCTGAAAATAGGTGAACTCAAACTTAAAATACCATATTACATTAGAATCTTGGCTTAACGATGAATGGTATCTTCAATGAAAGAATCATAATTTAAGAGGTGATTAAGTTGATGAGCTGGGAATTATTTGATCTTCAAAGTTCTCTAATTCTCGTGTTTTTTAATGGATTTCTTTTTAAAATATATTTTTAAGGATGATATGAAATTGGGCTCACATACATAAGACATACTAGCAGGTCTGTTTGGTTATTATGTGTGGTTCCAGCTAGCAGCAGGCTATGTTTCAAATCACTTTATAACATGTGGGTCATCAAGATAAAACCAATTTGATTTTCAGAGTAACATTTTAAGAGTAATGATGCTGGCAGAAATCCTGACAAAGGCATGCTTTCATCATCCAAGACACCAAAACCCATACTGTTTGTAAGTTACCTAAATTTACCATGATATTTGGTATTACTGTGCAGTTTTACAGTATGATTTCCATCAGATACGTCTAACGTGACATTTGAGTACCATTAGTAGAAGCTGACAGCTTTAAATGCACAAGTTTGAAAAATTACAATTTAGCTCATGCCTGCTTGTTTTTAAATAGAGTTTTTGTGACATAACTTTGAGTTGAAGCATAATGTGGCATGTTTGAGCATAATCATTTTTAAATTAGATTTAGGTTTATTTTTTTTTTTTAAATCTTCTTATCTGGCTACAGATAATGAACCTGGCAAAGTAAGCAATTTTTGCAACTGAAGCTTCAAGTTTTGAGAGACATCAGTACAAAGAATTTTGATGTCCACTTTTTTTTTTTTTTTTTTAATAGGGAACATACTGGCAATATTTCCCAAACTCATTGTAGGTGTTCATTTATCACTTATCTTCCCACTGGTTTAGTATCCTTTTGGACAGCAGAGAAATGCAAAAGTTCTGATACAGTCCGTTTTAACAGTAATAATTTGTAGACAGTGAAATCTTATCTCATTGTGTGCTTTGGATTTATATGAAGTTTGTGCGTATCTTTTGCTTTCAAGGAAAACTTTGAGCTTGTCTTCTAAGGCTTAGGAAGGATTCGTAATTTTTTTTTTTTTTGCTTTCACTGTTGAGCATTGTTGCTACTGTTTTGTAAAGCAAACACTCTTTTCTTAGAGTAGAAAAATATTCTGTGCACTAAGCTTTTCTGTTCTTCCCGTCCCAGTCCTGGAGGGTAGGGACATAAAAAATTGAATGCTACTTTTTGAATGATATTATGTGCAAGCTATTTTGTTTTTTTTTTCTTTTAAATGGGGGAGGAAAATCATAAATGTTGCTATATGGAAATGTAGGGTACTTATCAGCACAACACAAATATGCTTCTTGGTCTTTGTGAAGAAAATATAGATCCAAACCACAGATTACCTTCAACAGAGGTTGATGCTATCTTAGAGCTATGGGTTACTGTGTTGCTGTTTACTTTGTAGCTGATTGAAAGCAGCTCATGACAAAGGACCAAGGGAGTTGGGGATGCCTGGTATAATTTTTTTGGATACCCTGATTCTAACAAACATTAGCTTGAAAATACTGAAATCAACAGAAGTCTTACTCCCTGTTAGCGTCTTCTGATTGTTTTTACAATCAGTGTGGAGAGTGACTCAAATCCATTTGGGCTTCTACAATTTCTTGTTCCTAATATGATCATACTAGTCTAAATATAACTTAAAATGGTGGTCAAAAAGAAGATAAAGTCAGTAGCTTTCTGTCACCACTAATTTACAACAAAATTTCCTAACTTTATAAGCCAGCTTTTGGTTTGACTTGTGTTTGCTATAAGCATATTCAACAAATCAAAATAAATTATTCTGGAGTAGAATAACTTTGAGCATAATCTTCTTGTGCCTTGCTGGGGGCTAGTTAAGAATACTGCATCTCCTGTATTCTAAGCAGTGTGTCCTGACAATGAGCAACTGATGTTTTGGGTGTAGAAGTTAGACTTGGTCCTGTTTTGCCTACTCAGCAAGAGATTTTACCTGTTACTGTCTAGATATACATCCTTGTAGACAGCACTTTTGTGAGTGGCAGCAGCGGAGATCCATTGCAATGGTTAAATAAATGCAGAGGCTTTTCTCTGCGATATGGGCAAGTCCAAGTTGTCACCTGAGTAGCTGGCTGTGATGGCGGGTGGCTGCCATTAGCTGGGATGTGCAGTGGGTCATGGAATGACCAAGCACAGAGCAAGCCTATGTCTATGCATGTCTTTGGGGGAGAGAGGATTGTGAGAGTTGAGCCAGCACAAGAGAAGATTTTTGGGACCAGGTGTAGTTGGAACCATGAACAGAGATGTAATGTAAATACTGTTATTTAATGGCTTTAATGATCAGCATAAAGTAAACTGTCAGTTCTTGTCTGTGCTGTATTATAACTGGGGCTAAATGAGTTACTATGGGCTCTCAGCTTGTACCTCTGGCACATACAGTTGTGGTTTGGAAGCGGTTCCTATGGGGAATAGCATGGCAGTCGAAGAAGTGCATTCTGAATAATGTGCATTATATTCCTGACAGGGAATCTGCCTTCTTTCTGTGCATCATGGCTAGGTTTTTGCTTCACATTTGCCTGCTGGTGGTTTAGTGTTTAACTTTTGCTGGCAGCAGAGTTGTTTTCGAATCACAAGTTACCTGTTATGTGTGTCTCTTATGCAGTCTGGTAACTGACGGGAAACAGTCGTACATTAGACTTTTTTTCTTCTTTCAGGACTTATTTGAAAAGGAGGGCTTCATGTGTATAAAGTGAATTATCAGAAAAAAAGGAAAACACTTAAATCTGATTTTGACCACTTGTTCTGATCTGAGGTTTACGATTTGCAGATGTTGATCCCTAATAAACCAAACTTCTAGTGTGAAAGCAAAGGGTTATCCTCAGTTATGCATCTACTTAGCTGAAATTAAGACAAGACAAAAACTGGTGCCATGCAGTTTCTCTTTAGGGAATAACCTCTGTATGTAATTTTTTTGCCCTGTACAAACTCATTCAAACAAATTTGTACAAACTGATTTTTATTGAAGATCAACCCCAACTGAAAATTTCTTTAGTGTTATGAAAAAAAAGGCCATTATAGCCAAAATAAAAATTTTTCTCCTACTTTTGAAAATAAGTTAGTTGTTAGTAGATCTGGTAGAAGAACTAAACAGATTATTATTTTTTAAAGAGAAGATAAAGAGACTCTAATATTGTGAAGCTGTTGCTGCTATCTTCTGGCTGACCCTATGTTTGATAGTGGACATACAGCAAATATACACTATACCAGAGCAGAAATGAAGAAACGTGGGTTTTAGTATACTGTTCCCTGAACTGCATCATTACATAAGTAAGGGATATCAATAGCCCAAGGTTTGTATGATCATCTCTTTCCCTGTTCTTCTCAGTATTTTCATTCACTTCCTTTGGTCATTGTTCTGGATCTACCATATGCACTACTTAAAGAGATTAATATTTTCACATTGTTGAATGAAGTATTGTGCAGTTGGTGATTTGAATTATGGCAATAGGTTACAGTAGAAAGCTAGTTTTTCATCCAGTGTTATACTTTACCTGATTTTAGTCACAACTGTTAGAACTTCCTTGAATTACTATGGGAAACAAAACAGGCACTTTTTGGTTTTTTATTTTACTGGTAAATTTTGTCAGAACAACAGCACAATCATATTTGCAATTTCAGATGTAGCTATTGTGAAATGAGCTGCTCTACAATAGCTTCTAGCATTGATGCTCTGATTAAAAGAGAACAGTGCTGTAAATTAATGTAATAAGTTACAGAGAAGCAGTGTGTAAATATGACCATAGGCTATATGCTTTGCTGAAAAGGCTTGTGATATATAATTGCGTGTTCATGTGAGAAGCCATCAGTCTTTTGAAGAAAAAACAAATCTAATAATCTTTGTCATTTAGGGCACAGTGGGAGCTGTGAGTTCCTAGGTATGTTTCACAATCTTGAAATTCTACAAGATGAACAGTACAAAATATTGTCCGTATTGTCTAGGTAGACTTTAAAATAAAACAGAAAAAAAAAAAAATTAGCCATTGTAGTTACACATATTGGTTGTCAGAATTTGCAAGCCAAAATTCCCAAATAGGCTGCTAAATTTTTCCCAGCTTCTGTCCCTTTACCACCTTTCTGCTATTGACACCTTATTCTGGCAAATTTAAGCAAGGAACTGAGTTTATTCAGGTTACTACATTTCTCTTGATTGTTTATTCTAAACTCTTCAGTAGTAAAATAGGTAATTTCAATTTTTGTTAGGGAAAGTATCTCTTCACTAAAAGACGTTTTTCCCTTTTAGTGAAGAGATACTTAACTAAAAGTTAAGTATCTCTTTTCTTAAGAGAAAAAACATCTCTGGTCAAGTTTGAATTGACAGATTGCTTCTTAAGGTGTTTCTACTTCTATGAACATGATAGATTCAATATTATAATGTTGAAAATGGGTTTTAAAGTTTTTCAAAATAGCGAATCCCTGAGTTTATGTGCACCTAGGAGGAGATAAGGAGTTAAATTCCAACTTATTTGTCAAGGCAATTAGTTCAGTGATCAAACAAGCCACCTTTTAGCTGCAAAACAATTTGTAAAGACATTATTTTGAGCTTCTTGATACTGAATTTCAATAGACCTTCCTATATGCTTTATGTAAGCCCTTTGGCATTTGTTTAGGTTGAATAGTCATGAATAAAAGAGCTTAGAGTTGGCCTTAAAGTTCAGCATCTGAATTAGGAGAAAAAGAGGATTCAGATTGCCTTATGTACCCTGTTTCATTTTCCTTGTGCTTGGGGCTAAACATTTGTTTTTGCATGAAACTACCCCGATGTCTTCAGATTTTAAGCTATTTAGTGCGGAGTTCACTGGCAATTAGTATATAGTTTATGCTATATTAAGAGTAAATATCTCTGGCTCTTGGGTAGATCTAAGTATTTCCTTTGAAAGCTTAACTATATATTGGTAAACTATAGCAAAGTATATATAAGTATTACGCTTTTCTCTTGAGAGAGTTACGTTTTTGCATGTAAATGCTTATTTACTTATATATTTATGTGAACATATATTTATTTATCTAAGCACGTACTTGGCTTTTAGGATCTAGGCTTACCAGGTCTTTGTGAAAGGAGATTTTTTTTTCTCAACTCATTCAGTATTGTTCACAGCATTAACACATCAGTGAACAAATTGCCCTCTTGCATATGCTAATCCTGCACTTAAAAGAACTCATTGTAACACGTTTTAATGCTTTAGCTGGAACTGAGATGGAGATGGGAATCGAAGGCATGTCAAATTGTCATGTGACTGAAAAATGTCTAAAATGCTCTTTGGGTCAACAGTTTGTACTTAGCATAACTTAGCATGAAAGAAAGCAGTCCCTGTAGTTTGAGGAAAAGATTAGTCCTTGCCTTTGTCTTTTGTATGTGTATGTGTTGGCCTCAGTTTTTCAGATCAAGTCTAATTAAACACTTTAGCCTTAATTTCACAGTAGTAGTGAATGTTATCCTGGAAGTAAAAATATTTGATCTTCGTTTGCAATACATTTGTTGAAAGAATCCAATTGTAGTTCACCACAGCTAATAATTGATTACTGCATAACCTTATTCTGCAAATATTTGTTGTTTTAAGAGTTAAAGGCAAGCTGCTATTTATCTGTCCATACCTTCAGGTATAGAAATACCAAAGCCTCATTGATTTATGATGGCCTAGAATTGAATCAATCAGATTATATTTAGTAATATCCTTTATTAAATGGAATCTGAATATTAAAAAGTTATAAAATCATTGTTACTTGCTCATGAATAAACAACAAGCTTACTTCTCCTAAACAATAAATTCAGTTGAATTAATTAGTTAACTAGGTGGTGACTGACAAGTGAACTGAACTTTTGATAGGCTGAACAATGAAAATCCAAGCTTCTTAAAATGCGTGAAGCTCTTTATGTTTGCCTGGAGGACTTGGATTTGAATTAAATTGAATGAAAGACTTAAATGGCTATCACATTTCTAAAGCATCTATCACATTCAGTTTGAGTTTTTAAGCATATGTGAAGGAATCTTAAAAGGAATTTTTAATTGATCTTGGTTTTTGTCTTTACAGAGTAATTCTCTGTTGGTTTCGGACAACCTACGAAGCACAGATAAACGCAGGAATGGCCCTGAATATGCCAATGACATCAAAAAGAGAAAGGTGGATGATAAGGATTCCAGCCACTATGTAAGCAAATCTGTGTCAAATAAATTATTAATTTATTTGCACATGCTGTGCTTGTAAATATCTTTGGGCAGCTATTGTGTATGTTAGTGCTGTTCCGATCTTGCAAGTTGTATTTGCACCATTTTCTAATAATACTGTTTTGGTTAGAGATGGGTTTGGCAAACATCCCCATTTTACTGCATTAACTTTGAGAGTTTGATATTCTGTTGGCATTTTTCATTTTAAATATTTGAAGATTAACTGTTCTTAAGTTATTTTATATAAAAAGGAAGAAAAATCTTCACTTGCTTGTTTTTCATGAATTTCTACTGGAAGGAGAGGGAAAGGATTTTATTGCACTGTAGGAGTAGTTTGGTTTAATCCATATTTTAAATGTGTTTCTGCCTGCTCTTTGTTTGAAGTGGATTCTACAAATGCAGGCGCATCAAAATAAAGAATTTAACAATTTGAAAGTTCCAGATTCTAATCTTGAAGAGGTTTTGTTTGGGGAGTTTTGAGGGTTTTTTTGGGGTTTTGTTTGGTTTCTGGTGTTTTTGTGGGGTTGGTTTGGTTGGGTTTGTGGGGGGGGGGGCTTTTTTTTTTTTTTTTTTTTTTTTTTTTTTTTTTTTTTTTTTTTTTTGCTTTAATTTGGGGTTTTTGTTTGGGGTTTTTTTTTTGAGATTTCCCTAATTTTACCAATACAAAGCTGCTGATTTTGAGCTCATTTTATATGAAGCCCTTGTAGGAACAACGAAGTACTACTTTTGTCAAAAGGGACATGAACAAGTTGTAGGAATTGTTGCTTTTGGAAAAAAGATGCAAAATTAATATTTTTTCTGGTTTTGACTTCTGACTAATTTTCATGTTAGGATCTGTGTAGTTTCAATGTATGGTTTTATGAGTTAGGAGAATCTTCTGATATTAATAGCACTTATAAGAGATGCCTTTGATAATCCCAGTAAATTTCTGTTTATCAAGATTATGAAGTCAATGGAGTTCACTTAAGCATTGCTTGGTAGCTAATTTTGCCCTCCTTCAGAATGATGTTTTTAGTGAACAAGTGTCCCATCTACTGTTCTCCCACGCTCTCAAATGTGTTCTTACCTATTCTAGCACTCTGGGTGCTTCATACTTTTCAAGAGGTGTCAAATAACTGGAGCTAAAGCTTTCATTTTCCTTCTTCCACATCTTTTAGTTGGATAGGTGCCTGTAGCAAATAGAGCCACAGTTCTGTCTCCAGTGCCCCTCTTGGGTCCCTAATATGTTTGTGGTATTTCTTGGAGCAAGATTCTGTTAAAACAGAAGGGAAGGATTGAATTTATGTGTTGGTTTGTGGTTTTTTGAAAGGAAGAGATGGGGGACAGTTGAGCAGTCTTTTATGTCTGATTTGTTTGCCTAGAAACTTTTTTACTGGAAGTACTTTTATTAGAAATGTCAAACTTGCCTCTACAAAAATTTAAAGTTTTGACATTCACTTGATTTCATTTTTTCTTTGGTTTTGAGTCAAGATTCACCTTCTCATTGAACCACCCTATTGAACCACCCACTGTGGGTATCACTAGACCACTGCGTATCATAGAATGTGGCATTCCAGCCTGGATTGGAGATAGGGACCAGGAGGCACTTGAGTAACAACAATCACATGGCACTAGAGCAGCTGAGATGAATGCAGATCTAAGTGAAACAGTCAAAATGCAGCTTGACAAGCTGCAATGGAACATTTCAATTTAGAAATGTCAGTATTTTGGTTTTCTTAGGCAGAAATGTTGAAGTGCCTTAGCATTTCTGAAGCTTTTTGTTTCCCAGAACTTTGTATTTCAAAACTTACCTCTGGAAAAGGGAAAAAATGCCCCTATCACTTGGAGGAGGGTGATCCATCAAACATACCAAAAAACTCCCCTTTTCTGAGACTTTTTTAGGAATGCACAAGTAGTTATTTCTCTAAGATTATCACATGGGCATATGAACAGAGTGCCTTCTCTTTTAAGAGTAGTGGCAATGCTGTTTATGGTGGTAATGAGGAGGAGTTTTGGACCATCTGCAACTTGCACTGATGGTGAGATGGTTGTAATGGCTTTAGTCTAGGCGTTCCTGGTAAGCAGCTCATAACCGAGGAACTGGCCATGTTCCTAGTATTCCATATGATTTTTATGTGAACCAGGGTATAAATAAGATGAAGATTAGAGAATTCACTCCCTTCTCTTCCGGCAAGGTTCAGGAGCAGTGGGTCCTTGGGTTGGTCTCACTTATTTAAGTCTGAGGCCTGCAGTGACTGCTGGTCTGCCACACCGGGATTTGGGGAGTGCTGGCCGTGTCTGGCGATCTTGTTTCTTCTGAGGGGTGTGGTGAGATTACGTTTTGCTAGTTCTTTATTTTGCTAGTTCTTGGGTTGATGGTACATATCTGTTCTGGTTTTGTCCCTTTTTGTCCCCTTTTCCTTTCAGGGGGTGTATGGGGGCCCCCTTTGCTGTGTCCACAGTACTTTGATTGTAATATATGTAAAAATACATAATATAATTTGATTGGTTTCAGGTTTTTCAATTTTTATAGTTTTTTTCCTTTGCCCTAAGGGAAGAAAGGAGGAGGAAGGGGTTGTTACTGTGAGTTGGGGCATTTGGCAGGGAGCCAGGTCTGAACCATCACAGATGGTCATCTTTCAATTAGTACTACTTTATTTGGGATTTATATTTGAAGAAGAAATAAGGTGGTGTGTTTCTGTTTTTATGGTTCTCCCTATTACTAATAAATTAATGGAAGGCTGTTTATTTTTTATATAGGAAAAGCAAAAAATATCTGAGTAGATGCATAGTCTTTCTCTCTGGGTTCTTATTGTACTAATTTAAATGAACACTATTTATTTATTTTTAATAGGACAGTGATGGGGACAAGAGTGACGATAACTTGGTTGTAGATGTATCCAATGAGGTAACTTTTTTCTTTTTCATAGTCTTGATGTTTGCCCACCTGTTAAAGGAAAAATGAGTTTAGATGTAGAAGAAAAACAATTTTCTGTGTGGATATGTTAAAATATTCACAATATCTCCTTTTCATTAGTCCTGCAGTTACTATGTCTTACTCTGAGCTTTGTCTGGTTGCCTTCTCAGCTTTTCCTTCTTCTGCTTTGTCCAGGTCTGTTCACTCTGCAGTTAATGTTCTGAGGCTTCACAGCTGCTCTGTAATGTAGAGAGTTGTGCTAAGATATGCGTGGAAGGCTGAAGTTTTCAAAACTACCATCTTCAAATGTAAAACGAAAACATTATGTAATGTTGTATTTAATAGTAGGACTGTTATTAAAAAGACTGTCTGAAAAATTGTTTGTATTTTAACATCTTCTGTTAAAGACAGCATTTTCCAGAAATGTTTTTTTAGAATTAAGTCAGTCCATTCACAAGATTTTCCGGAGATTTTAGATACTTTTTTTCTTCAGGGCAGAGCTTTGGCAATGGCATAAAGGTGAGGGGATGGATGTTCCCTTTTCTTTGTCTTTTATTTTATACAACAAAGTGATGTAGGAAGTCTGAATATGGTAATGAGGTTCTTTGGCTCTGTGAAAAGCACAGGGAGAGAAGCTGGTAGAGAAGTATCTTCAGCTGCTCAAGTGCCCAAAATACAGCCAACTAGAAAAGTAGGTATCAAACTAGTGATTTTAGTAATCCTTTCAGAAGCCTTGCTTTCAATGAAATGGCTCTACGGTCAGTAGATTTAGTGCCCTCTTGTGAGGTGTACTTCCTCCCTAATTCTATTTTTATGAACCAAAGGAACATGGAGAACCTGCAAAGCTCTGATGGTGTTGCAGCTTGTGGGGCTGGGTATTTCAGGTTAAAGTAAATGCAGAGAGTACTTCTGGAACAGAGAAAAATAATGACCTGAGAGATAATTTCAGGTTTTCCTGTAGATTTAAGTAGCAAGGCAATTGCAGTTGGTGTTTAGGAAAAAAGTAAGTGATGTTGTGGCATATAAAAATCCTCATACAGGCCATTCAGTTAAGAGTTGGACTTGATGATCCTTGTGTGTCTCTTCCAACTCAGAATCTGCGAAAGCATGCATCTTTATCTTTTCTTCTGAAGGTAGAGATTAACAAGGTCTGTATTGCCTAAAAGAGATTATCAAAATATATGTCACTAGCAGAGCATGGAGAATGTACACAGAAAAATGGTATCAACTTACTGCAGTTACTGCTTACTTACAATTTACTGCTGGTCTCCTTTGAGCTTACCACACATTTTGTGCATTTGCTTTAGCTTGTTCTTAGATATACTTAGATTGCAAGCTCTGTGCTAGGGAACAATTTATGGTTACATGTAGTGTAAAATAGAGATTGCTTACTATATGATTTTACTTATGTTTCTGAATTGATGAAGGGATTTTGACTAATTTTTTCTATAAAGATAACAAAATGTCTTGTTATTTGAACTTACTGCTTGAATTCTCCTAGATTTTTTTCCCATAGACTCATGTTTGTGTACCAACACGTGACAGAGTTCTGTACTGTTCTTACCTTTCCATTGTTTTAGGATCCTTCATCCCCGAGGGCAAGTCCCACTCATTCACCACGTGAGAATGGTGTAGATAAAACCCGACTGCTAAAGAAGGATGCCTCCAGCAGTCCAGCATCTACAGCCTCTTCAGGAAGTTCCACTTCCCTCAAATCCAAAGAAATGGGTCTGGTAGGTAGTTGTCTGTTGTTTGGATAAATATTTTTTTCTTGTAAAATCTAACCCTGTTCTCTTGCAACTGCTTGTGAAACAAAGTACCTGGCATTAAACACTTGAAGCTGAAATCGACCATTGCTTTCCCAGACCTTTATAGTATTACTCAGCTTACCTTCTCGGCAATATTTTCTACTTTATTTTGATTTCTTATATTTGCTACATTTATGTCAAATGAGTTACAAATTTATTACAAAATACAAGGGTTGCTTAAGCATTGTTTATTTTTTTTCTGGAGCAATAGCTTATGGTTTGACATAGACTGTATATAGTCTTTAAGAAATGCTTCAGATTTTTCTTAAACTCTTCTAAATAAGCTGTTATTCTCTGAAACCTTTTTCCTACAGTATCACTAATAATTTCATCAGATTCTCTGTACCATGGTTTTTTGATACTATCAATCAAGGTGGTATTTTGTTTTTGTACTTGGGTTTGCTGTGCCCAATAATAATTGAGATATGAATGATTACCAGCTAAAATAGTTTGGTAATGCATATCGTGCTGTCCTGAAAGAATTGAGCTCAGGCATCTTTTTTTTTAACATTAGTGGAAGAGGAAAGATATCTTTCTATGCTTCTTATTTTAATTTTGGCAGCAATCATAAAGGTCAGCATTTCTCTCTCACAAGTTAATGTTGTCAGCATTGCGTGGATTTATGAAAATTGGCTGAGGGACTAGGTAATAGGTGCCCAGCATTCCAGCTACTGTTGTGATAAATTGTGTAATATGGCCTAGATTAAAAATAATACTCTTTGAATTTGTTTAATGATACCAGCATGAAAAAGCCAGTACGCCTGTTCTGAAATCCAGCACACCAACTCCTCGGGGTGATGTGCCAACCCCAGGCACTAGTGCAACTCCAGGACTTCGTCCAGGCCTTGGCAAACCTCCAACCATGGACCCTCTGGTTAACCAAGCTGGTAATGCATTACCTCATGTGTTTTTATAGTTCCAAAATAAGTCAGTTTTTACATACGTAGTTCTTTGTGACTGTTAACTAAATATATTGCTTTGTTCTTGATATCAAGAGAGGGCTTGAAGAGAAGCAGATGTTTGGATTATCAAGACTTTGAATATCTTTCTATCTTTTATTCTTCTTTGTTTACTTTTGTCTTTATCTTTTTTGCAAATAATCCAGAGACTGAATGCAATATAAAAAGACTTCTCAGAAGTTTCTGGTACTTGTTCTGTGTGCAATCCCTTCTACAGTCTTTGTCTGAGTCTACTAGTAGTTGCTGCGGTGCACAGCTTGACAAATGCCAGGGGAAGTTTACTTTTGCTATTCAGGCTGGTACACACAGTTGGCTTCAGACATGAGCTGTGTAAACCATGTCTGTCAGCTTTACTGCTTAATTTGGCAAAGAAGAGATTATTGTAAACAGGGGAATATTACAGGAATGGAAATAGGTAATGGTAGAAAAGATTGCTAGAAGTAATTAGCAAGTTCAAACGTCAGTAGATCTTATTTACACTAGGTAAAAAGAGCTGGTGGTTATTATTATCACAATGTGTCTTGACAGTGTGTGTAAGAGGGGAAGGTTAGGTATTGCAGGAGAAGAAAAGGGCTGTTTTCTTCTCTGTATGCTGGAATATATTAATAAAAGTATTTAATTTCATTATTCTCTAGCTGCAGGTTTGCGGACACCGTTGGCAGTACCAGGACCATACCCTGCTCCATTTGGAATGGTACCTCATGCTGGCATGAATGGGGAGTTAACCAGTCCAGGGGCAGCCTATGCCAGTCTGCACAATATGTCACCCCAGATGAGTGCTGCTGCTGCTGCAGCTGCTGTGGTTGCCTATGGAAGATCTCCTATGGTAAGCCATACATTCCATGCAATCTCAGTCATGTGAATTGTGGTTCACTGAGAAAGTGCTTCATTTATCACTGCTAAATTCCCAAGTTGTAACAGCACCAGAGGCTTTACAGCTTCACTGTGTTTCACTTTGCTGCGTGGCTGGAGAAACAAATTTCCACCTTGAAAACAGGGAATCTCTGTGTATTAATGCGCATTTTGGTTTTTTTATTTACCTTCATCAGTGCTTTAACTGATAAGTAATGCCAAAAAATTATTTTATGCTGTAAATGAAAAGGTAGTTTTGGTAGCCACAAAGTATTTCATTGAAGCTGTGGCTTTTTTTTGCTGAATCACACTTTTTTCCATACAGACATGACAAATTTATCTTGAAGTATGCAAAAGCTTTTTTTATCCATGACTCTGTCCCTATATTTTATTCTTTTTTTGTGGAAATCAACCTGAGAAGTTGATCAGTACGTATCTTGGAGCCCTTTGCTAAGTTGTGTTAAGAATAGTTGCTGTTGCGGATGCAGTAAGTAAATGGAACATAGAATAATCTAGGGGCCTGATTCTGCAAACTTGAGCTTGATGGCACTTTTATGCATAGGCAAACTTACCTACTTGTAAATTTGCAAAATTAGATTTAAACATGTCATCTCATTACTTTAAGTATGATTACTTTTTTCAAACTGCAACAGGGCTTTTATGTGAAAATGTGGAAATTCCAATTAACATACACTCTCCTTTTAGAACAATAATAGTTTTTACCCAGGTATAACATTCAGAAGAAAAACTGAAGTATTTTTCATCCAGAACTTCTGCTTGGATTATTTGGTGTGCATACTTACTCAGATATAAAAATGTAGCAGAATTGCACTATGTAAAGAGGGCATAGTCTGTTTAATCTGTAGACAAATTTGTTTGCACGCCACAATGTGAGAGGTCTCTCAGCTAATGTACCCACACAGAACAGTGTGGAACCATACACAGATCCTAGCTGGGGCCTAGAGCTGCTTTCCAGCACTTCACTGTGCCAGCCTGGGTACATGCTACCTCTCCCAGAGGTAAGGAGCACTGACATGTCTCCATGCTGACATACCATGGCCTCTAATTCCAGGGTAAAAACAGGACTTTGATTCCCTACTAGCACAGAGGTGCTTTTGTTATTGTCAGTGGTGTGAATGCATGATTCATATTACTGATTTTCTCTTTGCATATGAATGCTTCTATCTGAAGCATGCCCAAGAAAAGTATCTTGGTTTTGCCCCCCAGTCATACACTTATTTAATACTGTTGGTAAAAGGCACCTTTTGGTTAAATTATCTTGGGAGTGAAGAAAAGGGTCTTCTGAATGAGAAATTGCAAGTGTGAGATTAATTCACTTTTCATTACCAGGTTGGGTTTGATCCTCCTCCTCACATGAGGGTACCTGGAATCCCTCCAAATCTAGCAGGGATTCCTGGGGGAAAACCGTAAGTAACTTTGAAGATTTTGGTAACATCTACAATATCTAGAGAGAATAAAATTTTACTGTGTCCATGAACAAGAATTTCAAAGGGGATAGTGTCTGGTTGTTCTCAAGAGGTTGTTTTAGTCTTCTCCTGGTTAAAGAAGCTTAAAGATTCTCAAATGGTACTTCTTGTATCCCAGAACAGGTATGCATATACCTATTTCCAAGAAGGAGTTGTTGAAGGTATACTTTAAGTTGTTTTTTTTATTTCGTCCTTTCTGGAGGAAGTTAGGGGGACTACAAACTGGTAGATGCTGGTAAAATGTGTTAGATAAAATCATATTGAGACTAAACTTTGCACTACACTGAGGATAAATGTGTAGTGCAAGCTTGCAGACTTTCTTCTCTGACACCTGTTTTATCAGGCAAGAGAGTCTGCAACTGATGACAGTGGGTATCTGAAGCAGTTACTTAAGCAACAGGTTCCACACACCTTGCACAATGGAACAAGCTATTTAGAACTTTTGTATGAATGTGCAGCTGGAGAGCAAAAAATGATGAAACGTGGAACAGGTGGCGCATAGATGTAGAATAGCTTTCACAACAGGTTCTTTTTATTTATAAGTTTTAGTTATTGATGAAGCAGTTGTTAAATAAAATACTTCTGTGATGCTGTGGGTTATTGATGTTGCAGTAAAATTCACCATCATACACTAAACTTTTAGGTAATGTGGCTTTGGTGGACCATTGAAACTGAATCTACTGTATTCAGTAGACTGATGAGCATGTATGACCTGTTAAAATATGTGATTATCTTTTAGATATTTCTGAACAAGTAGTCTACACAGGTACTAACAAAGCAAAGTTGATTCAGCTGTTTATCTGGAGAGAATGAGGCAGAGAGAATTATAACAGGTTTTTCAACACTATGTTGCAATGTCTTCTTTGTCCCCTCATGCTTGGTGGTCATTCCTGTCTTGTCTTTCAACAGGAAGCTGCAATTAGGGTAGTTTTCTTCTAGCCAGGTACATAATTTTGAAACTCACATTTTGCACTTTCTGTGCTCAATGTTCATGTTACATGTTTATATTTACCAATCTGTCTTGGTTTAATTTTTCCTTTTGCAGTTTTAGGAAAAATTCAGAAATTACTACTTGTAGGATACTGTCTAAGTTCCAAGACAGGCTGTGGTGGAAGTAATATACTCACATGTTTCTGTTTGCTTTTATTTTGAACTCCTGTTAATAACTAGGGATATGTTTTAATGTCTATCTTGCAAACATCCTGAAAAATACACCAGATTACAGGCAAAAAGCTGTATTTTCTTCTGATCTTTTCTTATAACAGTAGGAAAGCAGTGGACTTTATTTGAAACCCCATCCTGAATGTCTTTTTGTTGTTACCCACCATGCTTCTGAGAACACGCTTATCAATCTGTTGGCAGTATGAAAAAGCTGTTAAATCTTGGTTTTACTTAAAGTTGGTGGTACGTTGACAAGAATATTAGAGTGAGGGCTCAGTGAGTTGGTGTTATATATCAGATGGTGGTGTTTTTAAATTCAGTGCAGTAAGGAGTAGGCTTTGTTCTCAAAACATTCTTTTATGAAGTGTCAGACTCATTCTTGCTGACTTTAATGGAATTTGGCATACTTACATAAAATGCTTTTGGAGATTGCATAATCCAGTGGCTGTAAGTTTTTACTTTTAAACAAGTAAGTTCATAAGCTTTCAGTGACTTATTTCAGTATTAATGTCTGGAAATATTTTATATTGTAAGCTATCAAACCCTACTTTTCTGTAGCTGAGTTCTGATTGTTACACTGTTCAAGACAAAAGGACAGCACGTTTCTGCTGCTTTACTTTGTATCCTGGTATTTCATAGCTAAGTTACTATCTGTGGGGTTGTGTTGGTTTTTTCGGTTTCGGGGTTTTTTTCTTTTTTTGTAGGAGCGGGGTGGTGTGGGTTTTTTTGGTTTTGTTTTTAATGTTTTTAGCAATTGATTCACACTGTTTCGTATACTACCTACTTTGCTACATACTCCCTACTGTCCACTTGATTTAATGTGTTCTAGAATGTTTGGGCTTTTTTGTGGTCTTGTTACTTGAACATTTCCTCTCAAATTACTGCCTTGCTTATCTTAGCGAGGCAAGCCTGAAATTCCATAAACTCATATGTTATCTTTCCATTGACAGCTTTAGAATGATCTCATGTTTAGTCTTGATTGGCTGCAGCTAGCTAGATGCCTTCTACTACTACCTGCAGCATCTTTGAGTATCTCACCTATGTTAGATTAGTCTCCTGTATTTTCTGTACAGAGTACATGGGTGGTAAAATCATGCAAACTGGTGGAGTACACTTCATTTATTTTCTAAGTCAGCCTTTTCATAGTGTGCAGTCAAAGTGTCACATTGAATTTGTTTTATGAGATACGGATTTTAGTGAGTCTTGTTGCGAATGGTAGAGAATTTTCAAATTCAACTACTGAATCCCCACCCATATGCTCAAGGCTGCATGTTTTTATCAATGATTATGCTAGTACTGGTTTTTTAACCCAGTCCTCCTTCCAAGAGAAAAATAAATTCCCTTATTTCTAAAAGACAGATATTTCTGTTAGCACTTAGGGTTTTTATAACCCTTGTATGTTCTGAAATCTGTTGATGCCTAGCTTGCTAGAAAAATTAGTAGCCTGTTAAGAACTCACTTGGACATAGACATTTGGTGTCTAAGTCCTGCACTCCCTTGTTTTGATGCATCTAACTATGCACTGCACTATTAGTTTGTGGTGTGTCACTGTAACTTTTTTTTTTTTTTGGTTTTTAGTCATTCTGGTTAACATGAATCTTTACTTCTAATTGTTGGATTGTGGACTGAACACAGGTTTTCAACATTAGTGCTAAGATTTGTATCCACAGTATTGCTTCCCTGGTGTCTAAAATTGTGAATTAGTGGCAGCATTGAGAATAAATATATTTCTCAGTACTTTTTTCCCAGCCAGTAGAAAGAGCTGAAAATACATGTTTCTCATTTTAGTAGGAAAGGGAAACTTCATGTGGTAAATGTTAACTCTATCAACTTCTAGTTATAACCTGACCAGCAGTTTTGGAGTGGTGTAGTGTACTGTTTTGGAATTCCTTGATTTCAGTTCTAGTGATCTTTACACTTGTTCAGTGAATGTACAGTGAGAGAGATTGTAAAGGAAGGCTAATTTTATTGTATTGAAGGAGAGTAAGGGTGGTGTTCCTGCCACATATCTCTGGATAGAATTATTTGATGACATATATGAAGTTAAACATTGTACAAACACTGTATAAATACCACTATCCTTAACAGTTTGGCATTTTATTTTATATGATGAAACACCACACTCATCACACTGTTCCTTGCAATAACTAAAATTAAAAATTAGCTGAATGCAAAGAAAAGCTGAAAGTGAAATGCGCTCATGAGTAGAAGGAACTTTCTGCTTTTTTGTTTTACTGTTGGAGGTATTTTTGTGCTAGCTGAAGGACTCTGAATTGGAGGAATGAAGTACAAGTTCTTGTGCGTTTTTGTGGTTGGTGTCTTGGTTTTTTTTAAGGCATGGTACTTTAATTAGGTAGGAATTGTATGCATTATATCAATCTGACTACTTGGAGTAGCTGGCATATAGTTTAGTTTTTAGCTTTGTCCTTGAGTAGTGAATTAATTATTCTGAAGTCTCCTTAGCATGTCAGATGATACTTGCTATATACTTATTTGGAAATTGGAGGTTTAAACTGAGAAACTGGGTTGTATTAATAAAACTTACTATGTTGCTGTGTATAGGAACTCTGCAGGTTCTTAGTGCTGCTTTGATGCAGTTGACGATAAGTCTTTGGATGCAGTAGAGAGAATATTTCTGTTACTCAGAAATAATACAAGTATAATATAATATACTGTTACTGTTACAGTCTTCTAAATAAAAGGCACAGAAGTTTGACTTGTGGTTGTTCTTTTAACAATATTTATTAAATTACAAGTGTATGTTTACATATTAGTTGCTATGTACTTAGTTTGTTTTATATTAAATTGTAAGTGCATTTGTATAAGACAGTTTTCTTGGTTTGCTGTGGTTGTTAGCCCAACACAAGGAAGGGATCTCTTAATGCTAACTGTCTTTTGACCAGAGATGGATATTCATGGAATCCATGACTGGATAGCCATCCATCATATAGGCAGAATGCTCAGAGTGAGGCAGAAATCTGTGCTAGTCATGAGGCTGAACAGCATTTTCTGACATACACTGTCATTTCTAAAGAAAGATGGTGGTCAATTGCTGCTTGTTAAGAAATATCTTGAGCTTTCGAGAACTCAAGAATTCATTGGATTTTACTAACTGTTCACTCTTTTGAGCCTGGAAAATGAAAATGCTTGTCACTTTTGAGAATTCAGGCCTGTGAATATGGTTAGTGCATTAAAAATTAAATCTTCTGTTAATGTAGCACTGTAAGTACAGTCCTTTCCAGAAGCAGCAGAGTAGGCCCTCTTACCATGGTGACCTGTGGAGAGGAAGCCAAGGATAACAGCAACTGAGCTGCAGAGTCGTCTGCACTTCTGTCTCCACTACTGTGTTCTTCTGGAGACAGAAGCTCTCCTTGTCTAGGGAGAGTCAGTCTGGCAATCAATGCAAATTTCGTTGAAGTTACAAGGTATGTGTAACAAAAAGTTATACCATAATACTTAGCAGATACAAGTCACTAGACCACCGTACCATAAGTATGGTGGCATTGGTGATGTTAGCATTACATGCCACATATCTTGAAGCAAGCAGGAGCATTTACTTTTTTGTATGCTTGTCTTGGCAGAGGGATTTGGCAAAGTCTAGCAGTTTCTTTCTGCAGTGAATTGCAGATAATTTGCGTTGTAGAAAAATCTCTCTTGGCTTGTATAAAACTATAACTTGTCTGTTTGATTGGGCCATCAAACTCAGTCATCCTGAGTCCTGATCAGCTAGTCTTAGAAGCAAATGCCAGCTCATGATGATAAATAAAGACTATTTCTGTAATTGTTATAGCCACACTTTTTAAACACAGGCATACTGGAATTCTACATGATGAAACATACATTGGTGGGTCTCTCATGTTTCAGAGCAGAAGAGTCATGACAATTCTACAGTACACACGAAATTGTGTACTTGAAAAGTATTCTATTGTCTTCCTGGCATGTAATCAAGAACTGAGAATCTCTGTGTATGCATCTAAGCATTTCAAAACACCAATTATTTAGATATTTTGAATTGAACAGAACATTTGAGGTGTAACCTTCCATAAAAAAAAGGTCACAGACAAGTAAATTGATCATCTTCAATATGCTGGAAGAAATTGCCTAATACTTGCTTAATTGTTTTACTTTATGATAAAAGCAAGGGCAGGCTGAGACTTCAAAGTTGTGTAGTTCTGTATACTCTTACTGCTAACAAATATTCTACAAATTACTTTGATTTGGAATCCCAGGATGGGGCCCAGCTTTTCAGTGTCTTGAGTGCTGTGACTCTGTAGTTGGATTCTACAGATGAACCTGAGCAGTTTTTCAGCCTCAAGCAGTCTTGTTGCCACTTGATTCTGTGTCCTCTCCCATCCTGTGTCTGATCAGTTTAATAAGTAGCTGCTTTGGGACAGTTTTGTCTCTATTCCTCTTGGATACAGATATCTAGTTAAGTCTTTATCATTAGTGTAATAATAATTACTTTCATACTAAGAAGAGCAAGGGTGCCATGGGACAAAATACATTTGATATACTGATATACTGTGTCTATATGCATGTAAGTGAGTGAACTTTGCGCTTCCTTTCTTATCTTACATTTCCTGTTCCTGAAATTTCTATGACATAAGAGATCTATCATCTTTTGCACTTGCTCATCCTCTGTTTCTGTGTATCTTCTGAGCAGGCTTTCCACTCATATGTCCTACCATGAAACATGAATGAAGTACAGGAGTTGCATTTATATGCACTATTAATTTCTTCTCTGTTTTAAAGCAGTTACTGTTCACTAGGTTTTACCCTTCCCTTCAGAAAAAACAGTGATATTTTATGGGGTGACTGTTTCCACTGTTATCTTCTGTATGAAAGAATTGTAGAGTTCTTTCATCTCTCCTCACTCTTTTTCAAAGCAATATCTTCTGCTCTGCTCCTGGGAATGTTCAGTTGCTTTGTGATGTCTGTTGCAGATCCAGGCATCTTTCTTGTTCCTTCATTTCAAACTGGGTGATACTTGGGAACATGTAATAAAATACTTTGAAAATACTAGCTTATTGCTCAGAACAGAAGATTAAATAGAAATATCTATTGTTAGGTTCTTGGAAGACAGATGCAATACTAATAGTTGAAATACAGTGAAGTTTTCTGAGGAAGAAAGTAGATTTGGGAAAGAAAGGGCAATTCTGAACACAGGAATATATTAGAAAAATAAAGGTATCACTAGAGAGATGGCAGATCATTAGTAAAAAGAAAAAAAATGAATACTCATAGCTCACCATTTTTTATCCACTTTGGCCTCTTGAAGAATGCTGTTAATGTAACAGCAGCATCAAAAGCATGAGATATGGATGTGCTTAAAACACAAGCAGCAAAAAATGAGCTCACTAGTATAACAAAACCCAACCTTTTGCAGTAGTATCTTCATTATTAATTAAAACAAGTGAAGAAACCTCTGCATCTGAAACCTTTATTAGTTGGTGTTTGTGCCCTTGTCATTGAGTACAGCTGAGTTCAACATTTCAGTGACTATAAAGAAATAATTTCTTCGTGGTACTTTCCCTAAGGAGGAATTTTTTAATTCAGTGCTGGGATTTCCCTTCCTCAACTCTCAAGTTCCATGCGCTTGAAATCATGCACTGAATACAAATAAAAGGTGTTTCAGAAGAGCCAAGAGTACCTGGAAAACTGAACCTTTCAGCTTTTCCAATATATTTATTCAGGAACACAATTATGACAATTATGATGGTATTGGCTTTCTGAGGAAGGGTGTGATCAACCACTCTACATGTTTCTATTTTCTCCTTAAAGCACTAGTTAAAAGATAGAAAGAGGGACATGTGAGCACAACTGGTGGTGATGTTACAGCTAAGATGCAGAAATCAAGCAAAACTTTATCTTTGGCTAGTGCTACTGCAAGGCAACAGGTGCAAGCCTCCTTGAAGAAGGATGAGACAGTAGTGCCAAGTGAGGGACTGCTGCTGTGGGACTTGTGGTGCAGAGACTTGAGACTGCTGGCTAGAAACCTGGAGCTGAAAGTTCTTTTGATTATCCAGATGATTGAGGGATTGCACCCATGACCCTGGGCTTTAGGTTTAAGGGTAGGATTTAACCTGCTTCCCCACTACAGAAACACTTACATTGAGGCAAGCTGAAAATTTCTTTTGTGAGTCCTTATCTCCCTCTGATGTTTCATGTTCCTCTATTACTGGGCACCGTAGCTCTGATTTTCATGAAAAGATGATCGGCAAAGAATTAAAATAAAAAATACTGTATTTTTCTTGCATCATAGTACTATAATGGCTGATTTTTTTTTTTGGTTGTTTTGTCTTCACTTTTCTTTCTGTTCCCCAAAAAGAGCCTACTCCTTTCACGTTACTGCAGATGGTCAGATGCAGCCAGTTCCTTTCCCTCCTGACGCCCTCATCGGTCCAGGAATCCCTCGCCATGCCCGTCAGATCAACACTCTGAACCACGGGGAAGTTGTGTGTGCAGTTACCATCAGCAACCCCACAAGACACGTGTACACGGGTGGGAAGGGGTGCGTCAAAGTCTGGGACATCAGCCAGCCTGGCAACAAGAGCCCTGTCTCTCAGCTGGACTGCCTGGTAGGTGAACAGGAACTTGTCCACACGGATAGCTTCTCCTTGGAGACTCAATAAGGAAAATAGCTGTCCTTGACTGAATTTTGTTCATATGACAAGGAAATCACAGGCAGATCTGTTTCCTGGTGGTTTCTTTTTTAGCACATAACAGGTTACAGAGAATAGTGCTGGTTTGTTTAGGGATAAATATCATCACTAAGCGTCAAATAACAGATTAGATCAGATTTCTGAGTAGAATAATTTTTTTCTCCCTCTTCTCCACTCCTCCACCCATTATGCTGATGATTTTTGTGCATAAGTTTAAAGGGAATGCAGCTTGGCTTATGCAGGGCTGCTGAGAACCTTCGTAGTTGTTCCATTCACATGAGGAGTGACAGTCTCATGTTTTATAAGATGATAACAACCACCTTTATGCTTTATTTATTGCTATCCTTTTGTTAATTGCCTAGCAGTAACAGTGCAATTGAATAGGTATTCTTTCCTGTGGCAGGTATGTGTCCAGATACAGAAACTTAGTTTTACCTAGGGAGCAGTAATGACTGATTAAACCAACATTTCCACTGCCTTACTTACTGCTCCTTTGCCATGAATTAAGAAAAAAAAATAGGAGTAGGAATGCTATTAACTACATTAAAGAAAAGTGGTTTTTGGTTTGTCTTTGCATCTTAACCATCCATTTACTAAAGAACTGCTGCCAGTCAAGCGAAATTATAAGAAGTGAAGGTAGAAATATCTTCTGTCATTGTCTCTTCTGTAAGTACGTCACAATCAGCAATAGGATCACAGACATGAAATTGATAAGTACAGTAAGAATCATGGTGAACAGCAAAGGACCAACATAAATACAAGACCAATATGGGAATACTTAATCTTTAATACTATGAATGCAAAATAGGATTTGAAAGAAAAATTCCAAAACCTAAAGGGCATGAGACTTGAACTATATTTTCCTATAGGGTTGTCTGACTGTCAAATGAAAGATCATTTGCTTTAATATTTCTAATATTGATGACCTTCACTGATGGAGTGGATTTGCAGAAATGCAAGCTTATTTTGTCTCTGTTTTTGTGTAATGAGAAAACATTCATTGGGTTTACAACAGAATAGTCTGTAGCAACAGGAGTCTGCAGTGTTAATTTCCGCAGCTGCAGTCTCTAATTAGTGATGAGAAGTAGGTGTTTGAAACCTTTTAGAATCTGCTGGTTCCTCTTCAGTACTTTCGTAATGGAAAAAATAGCAAACTCTTTAAAACTTTGATGTAGTTAGAATCATATTACTGGTCATTACTGGCAGGCATGTATTAACATAACTGAGGTGATTTGTGTTGTACAGAACAGAGATAACTACATCCGCTCTTGTAAATTGTTGCCTGATGGATGCACCCTTATAGTTGGCGGGGAAGCCAGCACATTATCCATATGGGACCTGGCAGCACCAACTCCTCGTATAAAAGCAGAGCTGACATCCTCAGCACCTGCCTGCTATGCACTGGCTATCAGCCCTGATTCCAAGGTGTGTTTTTCCTGCTGCAGTGATGGGAACATTGCAGTGTGGGATCTGCACAATCAAACATTGGTCAGGTGAGTCATTGCTTGTTTACAGAAAATTTTAATAGAAGTTATTGTTTAGACAGCTACATAAATAATTATCTCCCAGAATAGGTTCCTGACAGCAAAGTAAATAATATCTCTTATTCAAAGAATATGGCTTGCACCCAAGTGGGGAAGAAACTAGTTTTGGTCACTTCAGCCTAATCTTGGAAGATGTGCTTTCAGGGCTAATGGTTTGATCCATAACCTACTGCAGTCAGCGTAAAAGTTCCTGTTTCAAATAGTTGGGATTGGTCTCCAGGTTTCTAAGAGCAGCATTTTTGCTGGTTGGTCATCAGTATAGACTAAACATGCCTTTTAGGGAACTCTGAGGTTTGTTCTTTGCCTTTGTCTTCAGCCTTGTTAATTAATAAAAAGAATTTTCAATTCTTATTTAATGATGTAAAGTAGGAAAATTAATCTTACAGAAGTTAATGAAAGTGTGGAGCCTCGGTTCTTTGGGATAGCACAGGGGTTAACTAGAATATAAATTGGATAAATTTTTGCTTACCAAAGTAGTGGTGGCTTACAATATTTTGAGAAGAGAGTCTAATTTGGGAAAAACCAAGTTACCTTAAAAGTTCTGAACACAAACACTAAAGAATATGCTTAGTCTCCTGAATTTAAATTAAACTTCCTGTATATCAGTAATTAGCTTAAAATTATATGCAAATAATCATGTTAATGTGCTTGCAAATTTTATTTTCTGTTGAACTTTTGATTCAATAAATACAATTTTATTCATATAAAACCTTCAATTTGCCCTGTACAAGCTTAGTCCCTGTAAAGGTGCGCTTTCTCCATCTCCGTCTTGTTTTTTAAATGTTTACTGTGGGTGTTCCCACCGCTTGCTAGCTGATCTTGCTGACACATGGAATTTTGAGACCAGAGGTACAAAACAAAATGTGCCTCTTGACCTTTCCATGGCAGCTCTTAGTGATTCATACCCTTTGTTCCCAAGCTATTTGTCTTTTCCCCACCTGCCATCCACCTTTCACACTGAGGCATAGGATTTTGCTAGTTGATTGGTGATGAAAAATGCAGGAAGAATGCTTTTGCCAAAGGGTTAAGAGAAACTTGAGATGACCTTCTGGTTGCTGAAAGCTGGCGGTTGCTAACGAGGAGGACTGCACCACTTAGATTTTTCTAATCTGCCACAGAGAATGCAACTTTTTGACTCACCAATGCTAGAGTTTAATTGTCTGGATCCCTATCTGGATCTCTTTCTATTAATATCGTATTATTTTTCTTCTTGACTTGCAGCCAACGAAAAATACAGAAGCTGTTTTCTGAAATTGGAAGTTTTGTTCCCTGAGCACTTGATATAATCTGAGTTGCCCTAGTGGTTTTAACTATAGTTACTGTGCTTTACTGTTCTCATGAGGTGGGGTTTTTTTGCTTTTCAAAACCTGATAGGAAAGATTTGACTTTATTCAGCTAGCCATGATGCAGTTCATTCCTCTACCCCCTGGAAAATGTTTTTGTAATACTGGTATTTAATGCTTAGAAAAAGGAATGGGCTCATTCTTGCTCATCAGCAGACAAAGAAGAGATGACACACATGTACAGAGTCCAAAACTAACATCACAACAGTGTTTACCTTGAGCTCTGGCAGGAAATAATTATTCAATCTGGTTTTTTTATCAGGCAATTCCAGGGCCACACAGATGGAGCCAGCTGTATTGACATTTCTAATGATGGTACCAAGCTCTGGACAGGTGGTTTGGATAACACTGTCAGATCCTGGGACTTAAGAGAGGGGAGACAGCTACAACAGCATGACTTCACATCACAGGTAACAGGATTTTCCTACAGCCTGAGGGACTGTGTGCTGTGAGAGGGAAACATTTAGGATGAGAGGTGAGACTGAGCCCAGTGCAACTGGCACATTGTTCCCTCTCTTCCTTTTAGCTGCTCAGAACACAATATTTTGAAGCTTTCTTATATACTTAGAATCCAGAAAGCCTGACACTACTCTTTTTTTCTAAGTTAATAGTTAAGAACAGGAATTATTTAGTTACTTGAATTTTGAACTACAGTCTTACTATTGAACTACTTGAATTTGCCCTTATTTCTCTCCCTCTCCCAGTTAGTTTTAACTTCAGAAGAAAGAACTATCTTTAGGAAAAAAATAAAAGGTGTAAATGTGGTTTAATTTTCAGATATTTTCCCTTGGTTATTGTCCTACTGGTGAATGGCTAGCTGTGGGAATGGAGAGCAGCAATGTAGAAGTGCTACATGTAAATAAACCGGACAAATATCAACTGCACCTTCATGAGAGTTGTGTATTGTCACTCAAGTTTGCTTACTGTGGTAAGTGCCCTGAACACAGAACTGGAGATCAGGGCTCCAATTTGTGTTTTGCTGATTAATTATGATATAGTCATAGCTCATTTGATAATCAAAATTTATTTAGGATCTCAGTTTAAGTAATGAATAAATATCTCTGCTTTATGAATTCACATGGACTTACCTACAAACAACCATGCATTTGTCTAAAGGCTGCTGTGAGGATTGATTCATGTGTAAGAAGCTATTTCTCTTTACAGAGTCTAGGGATTTACTAGTATATAACACACTGCAAAAGCACTAGTGTCCACACTGATTGTAAGCAAAAGTACTATGTTGATTAGTGGTGACAGCTTTTATAATGGTAATTAGTTACCAGGTTTCATTGATAAGAATTGAAAATACAAAATTTGTCAGATGTCTATTTCATGTTTTCATAGTCCTTCTGGTTTATATTCTAGGTAAATGGTTTGTGAGTACTGGGAAAGATAACCTTCTTAATGCATGGAGAACTCCTTATGGAGCCAGTATCTTCCAGGTGAGAGTGATGTTGCTTTTAAAGAAAAAGTTAGAATACCCAGAGTCCCAAGAGTGGACTCAGATATCTTCATTTATGTAATCTGCCCAAAATGGGGAACAGACTTTTTTTAATGATGTAATATATTTCTATTTTTCTTCTAGTCAAAAGAATCTTCATCAGTGCTTAGTTGTGACATCTCTGTGGATGATAAGTACATAGTCACTGGCTCTGGAGACAAAAAAGCTACAGTCTATGAAGTTATCTACTGAAAAATATGATGGGGATATAACTTCCAGAAGTTGAACTGGCCCAAATTGTTCTTAATGGCAGAAGTAAAAAGGTTTTGACTTTTAAAAGGAAAAGAAGTGTTGAGGTTCCAGACCTTGCCGTGAAACTACTCCGATTTTTCAAAATAGAAGGCAACATCCAGCAACTAAAGACTGGCTACGTGGACCAGACGGAACACAGAGGCAAGACGGAGAGATTTAGCCTAGGTTTTTGACATAGTTTTTAAAAGCCAAGTCTACTGAAGAATGTTGCAGCCTTTTATTTTTTTCTTTCTTTATGACCTCATGCAAATTGTTCTCATTGCCTGAATATGGGGGATAAACACCTTTCCGTTCCTTGCAGTTCAAGTTGCATTCTGTCCTGTGTAGAGCAGCAATGTCTCAGATGGACTTGTTTCCTGGTTTTACATCTTGTGATATGTTTTTATATTTTTGTTGAAGATTAAGCATTTGTATAAATTGTAAATATATTTAGTTTACTACAGTAAAGGCTTTAGTATCTACAACCAGTCTTCCCCCTTGCCCCCTCCCTGCCTGCCCTGCTTATTTAAAATTAAAAACCTTTTGGGGATATAAGTACCTTTTTAGAATCAAAAGCAAACACTATGTATAGTTTGAAAATGGTGTCTTATTCTTTATAACTATTCCTAGATTCCTTTATCATACTTCAAAGTAGTTGTTTTGACATACTAGGGAATCAAGTCCGGTAGATACTGTCTTGTGCTACAGAAAACTTAAAAGGCAATTTTGTACTAATTATAGTGTAAATATAAAAATTGAACATTTCATAAAGCTGTGTTGTTTATTTTAAGTTTATTCTGATGTCCCATGTATATGTTTTTTCACAGAAACAGTAATATGTGCCTGATCATAACTCATTCACTGATTTCTCTAGAAAAAGAGGGACTTCCCTCTCCTTTTCCCCCCAGTTGAACAGAATTCATGTGAGACTGCATTTCAGCTAAGTACATCAGAGCCTTTATTCGTTAACTGAGGATGTCTGTGATGAGAAAAGCTAGATAAGTTATATCCTTTGTATTTTACAGAGAAGTGGTAGTTAATGACCATTTCCTTTTTAAAGTCTTGTCTAGAGTTAGATACTCAGGTAAATTACCAAAAGTGTGAGTTTTACAGGGGATCACTTAAAGATGTTAAATACTTGCAGGGCTGCAAGTGAAGTGAATTAATCTAAACTAAGTTAAATTTGCTTCTTAATTTCTTCTGAGAATGTTGACAAAGGAATATTTTGATTTTTAAGTAATCCACTCTACAAATTAACTAGAATTGATTTTCCTGAGTGTCCCATGTTACACAGGCCTATAGGCTCTATGTATTCATATGGAGCAATCTTTGAGTCCTTTCCCCTGTGGCATGAGTGTGATACATCTGTGAAGAGCCATGCTAAGCATCCAGTTACCAAAGCTATGCATCTTCAAGTGTTCTTTATGTACTCAAGAGCAGTGGATCGGGGAGAACGTGTTAGTTTTATTCAGTGTTTTTTCAGATAAATGAGTTCTACCACTCTGTGCTAGACAAACCTAGCTATTGCACCAGTGAGGGCCATACATTTCCTGCACTCTGTAATTTAATTAGAATTTCTGTTGCTAATGGAGAATACAGATGAACAGAAGGATGTCTTTAAACAAACAATTCAGATTACACAAACTGGCATAATACGGGTTAAGACTCTTCTCTAAAGAGCTGCTTTCTCATTTTGCTAGCATTTCACAATGACCTATATCCCTGCTCTTCCAAAGACAGGCATGTAGGAAGAAACAAGTTTGACTGACAGATGCATTGGCTAGATAAGGAGTTTCTCATCTGGGGGCAAATTTTATCTTAGTTTTCAGTCTGAAAAGACATTGGTTTTCTTTTCAGTTTATATGACTATTCTACCGAAACCATTTCATAGCATTTAGAATTGTAATAGCCTTAATGTGTTAACTTTGCATTTGGAATATAAAATGTTAACCATTCAGGATAATCTGGTCTCCTAGACATTTAAAATTAGCGTTCTATCCATATGTATCTATATCTTTGTCAGTTGCTGTGTTGTCAATATGTATCTTAATGAAAATGGCAGGTCAGCTTAGGTGCTGGCCATGTTGCTTTCACTCAAAAAGCAGAACCATCAGGCTTTTCAGAGAGTTAACTATATTTGCTACATTGAAATACTGTGAAATACTATGTCATTTTTAAAAGGCAAAATTTAAAAAAAAGAAAGTGTTTACTAGATTTTACTTGATTTTTACCCTTTTCATATTGAAGTTTCTCTGAACATCTAACTCTGCCAATGATCATTGACTTTAGTAGTACTGGCAAATTTCTGTAGTTAGGAACATTTGGATTTTTTCCAAATTGCTATCACTTTGGCTTTTACTTTATAGGTCTTCCTTTGCTATTCTCTGAAGTTGATATTAAAAGAACCAAGAATGCAAGTGTTCTAATACATCCATGTAAACTAAAGTAAAATAACACAAGTATAATGGATCTGCTATATGTTGTAACATAGTGTTTGCTAGTAAGAACACATTCTTGGCAATCAGGAGGTTTAAAATCATACTATTAGGAAAATCATAAAATGCCTCGTCTTCTTAGCTTTTAAAATGCACAGTGTTTCAGAGCAGTTATGGAATTGGACATTATTTACGCATGTGAATGGATTTATTCATATTTGTACCATATATTTCTTGATTGTAATTAGGAAATTTATTCTTTTTTCCCCCATCAGATCTACTTTAAACCTTGAGTCTAAAAAGTTGCATCATAAAGTAGTTATCTCAATTTGTTGTTTCAGATTTCACTTTCAGTTTATGAAACACTGCAGGTTTTTTCATTTGTCAGGCAGAAAAGCCTATTCCACCTGCAGATGTAATTTTTAATGGAAAGATAAATTCAGTGAAATCTTGGCATCTGTCTACAAAATAACCTACAATATTTAAAACATGTCAAGCTTTTAACTTCTGTAAGTTCTTATAGCCCTGTGTAAAGTAGTGGGTGGAAATAATTGCATATTGAATGAAGAAACAGACTTACTAGGATAAGCAGTAACAGCAAAGGTGCTGGAAAAGCCACAGGGAAAAAAGAAGTACACCAGTAACTATAGTGTAGGTAATTATTATTTTTTTTAGTAATTTTATTTACAGTCATAATAGATGCCTTTGGTTAGCCCCTTTTTGGGACAGTCTTTGTTTGCTGGGTGACCCTCAGTATTTAGAGATGCCTAAATGCTACTCTGGCAAATGCTAGTGCTGGATAGAAGTAGGGAGTCCTTACAAAGGACATTTTGGATGTCAGTGCAAACAGTAACTGATGATGTGATAATATCAATTCAACTGAAAAAAATCCTTTGTCAGCTCTCATATGTATATTTTGTATATGTGCACTAGGCATAACCCTTTATAAATCACTTGTACAGAAAGTCATGATATTATTCCACACAATGCAATTGTCAGTGTGTCAAACTATCTCTTTTTGATTATAATTCCAAACAAAGATAGTTCCCCATGTTAATCCACAAGCCTCTGGTACCTAAGAGAGAATTTTCGTCTTCATTAGTTCTTTTTATCTCATTTGGCATTTCAAAAGCTTTTGTTCCTTAAAAGGAATAAAATATTAATTTCTTAGACTGTTAACAGTAGTGTTATTTTTAAATGTAAACATCAATATAAAATCTGTCTTATACATGTTTACATCTGTCTTATATGTTAGACATCTAGTCTTATACATGCTTTTATTTATGAATGGTTGACCATAATTTTTCTGTCACACTTTTGTGGCACAAGTGATACAAGTAGAATTTTCAGAGGTGTTTAAGTTACATAAGCAACTTAAACTCAGATTGGCAATTTGCTTTTTGGTTTTGGTGTTTATTTTTGGTGGAGTTTTTTGGGGGTTTTTTGCTTGTTGTTTTCATGGAAAGACTGGCCCACTTATGAACCTGTGGGATTATGTAAAATAGTTAGAATAGTCCTTCATATTTTTTATTATATTGGTGCAATTTTGAGTTGATGGGGAAATTCCACCATTCTAGTAATAAAGAAGGTGGATTTTGATGTTTTCAGGATAAGGAAGAGTACTGACTTCAGATTTCACACTACTGAAAAAGCATTTACCTCTTAAATCTCTTCACTGGAGAAGCTGGACTGGCTCCAACTCTGCTCTCTCCTTGAAGGATTCCTTTTTTTTTCCCTACCACAAGTACATAGGAAGAACATGAGAATGTAGATTTATGCAAGGCTTCAGTCATGGTGTCTTTTCCAGAGGGAAAGCAACTCAGAATAGAACCTGATGAACACCAGAATAAAAGAAGGTGTTCATGGCAGGGAATACATGGAAGGACAGAATTACAGAATCATTTAGGCTGGAAAAGACCTCAAATCATCAAGTCCCATTCTTGTCCGAACATGACCATGTCAACTAAACCTTAGCACTATGTGCTGCATCCAGTCATTTTTTGCATGGATGGTGACTTTACCACCTCCACAGATAGCCCATTCCAATGCTTGACAACCCTTCCTATGAGAAAATTCTTCCTAATACCCAACCTGAATCTCTCCTGGCACAGCCTGAAGCTGTATCCTCTTATCTTGTCAGTAGTTGCCTGATAAAAGAGACCAACGCCCTCCTGGCTGTACCCTCCTTTCAAGTAGTTATAAAGAGCAATAAGGTCACCCCTGAGCCACTGCTCCTCCAGCCTAAACAACCCCAGCTCCCTCAGCCACTCCTTAAAAGATTTATGCTCCAGACCCTTCACAAGTCCCTTGCTCTTTTCTGGACACTCCTTAAGGTTGTTCTTGTAGTGCGGGGCCAAAACTGGACTGAGACTATGCCATGCTCCCTTATCCATGCTAAGGACTGGGAAGATCCCTTTCCTAGTTCTTCTGGCCACAACATTGCTAACATAATCCAGGAGACCTTTGGCCTTCTTGGCTACCTGGGCACACTGATGGACAAAAGAAAATGGGAGCTTTTACACACTTACATTTTAGGGGTAATCTAATATGAAATCTACAAAATTCACCTAGAATAAGATTCCAGTATGCAATTTGTCAGTAAGGTTGTTCAAATGTTTCTGCAGAGTAATTCAAGGACATTTGGGCTGTGTATTGGAACTATAAGTGGACATTTCTTTGACATCCATAAGCAGTCATCTAATTCTAAGAGGGAGTTAAATAACAGTCAGTTCTCAATATTTCCCATTACCTTATATTTTCGTAGCTCAAGAGCCACTTCTAAGCAGTTGATAATCCCATTTTCAGCAGCATGCTGAAAATGTGTCCTATTGCAGCTTAAGAGCTTAGTGCAGTGTGGTAGATTTTGCTAGGGAAACCAGACATGTAGGACCTGGGTGCTTGAAAAATCTGCCCTATGGTTCTAGCTTACTCACATTTCTGAGGAATTTACTGAGAATTTCTGTTCAGCTAGGAGAGCTCAAACAATCACTTAGATGTTTTCTAAAGCAACAAAACCTTTTCCAAGCCTACTTTTAAGTATATGGGTGGACTTAGTTGGTTTTATGTTTTGGCTTGGTTTTTTATTATTTTGTGTTCATTTATTTCTTTTTTCGTCTTACATAAAAATTATAAATTGAATACAACAAGAAAACATGAAGGGAAATTAGAAGAATGAATAATTATTTTAAAGGGTAAAACGTTCTTGAAGGTGCTGTATCTCAAAACAAAACCTATTACTTCTATGATACGTTAATTCTTGAGAGAGATGGATTTGTGTTTTCTTGAGGCTAAAGTGCTGTTCAGAAACTGAATACCAAAAAAATTGTGTTGTGGGGACAAATGTTAATTATTTTCAGATCTGAGCAGGTTTCATTTTCAAATCTGAACATTTTCAAATTATTTTTTTTTTGGGGGGGGGGGTTGGTTTTTTTTCGCCATGTTTCTTTTTGTAGTGTTCCACAGTTCACTCCTGGAAGGTGAACAACAGTCTGTGTCCTTTCTGGCTCTAAGCTCTCTACTATGCCTTAGTAAGAATTTTGTGGCTTACAAACCTGCTGGTGATACACAGACTGCAGAAAAATCTGAATATTTAGGTGGATAACTACATAGATTATATCAATTAGTGTATGTTGTACTAATGTCTCTTACTAAAGCAAGCACCCAGGAATAAAATAGCTGCATTGTTCCATACTCATACTTTTATTGTTTGTGAAATTGCTGGTCAGTGTAGTTAACTCTCCGTAGAGAAAAATTCTGTGGTGGCTCCTGAGATAAAGCTTAAAATTTTGAGATCTTTTCTTTCCTCTCATAAAATTTCACATGTGATTTTCCCTGCAGTAAGGTTATATTGATTCATAGAAAGGATGCTTCAAGGAACACTAAACAGTTCTGTTGTGCACAAGGATTGCCTTTGCCATGTTCACAGTACAAAGGTATAATATCTCTGAAACCCTGTTTCTATCTGTCTTCTGCCAAAAATGACTTAGAGGCAAAGACAACACATAGTTTGCAGATTAAGTAATCAAACATACCATTATCATTATCCCTTTTGTATACTCTGTCATTAGCATAGAAAATGGAGATGATAGCCTGTAAATGCAAACAATAAATGTTGTTTTTCCTTCAAGCACTGATTTTAATGGCAGTTTAAACAAGTTAATAAGCAGAATAGGGGTCATAAATGCAAGTTAACCCATAGCACTGGGAAACTTAAAAATCACTTGTTACTTTCCTGGTAGTGAACCTAATTAGTTTAAAATAAAATTCATCTGTTCATTTCACAGTCTTTGTCAGACTTCCTTCAGCAATCCACAGTGGATTACCCCACTATTTAAAAAATTGGCTGCAATTATGATAAGCTAATAACTCTGTGGTTTGCTGTAGCAAGATGTCTTGCAGAGCTGTGAAGATTCCCTTTATTCTTAAAAAAAAAATCAGCTATTGGGGTTTTTTGCAATTAAACCTGCCTATTTTTTTAATTTGGTTAAAAGTACATATACAATCTGATGGCTTTACAAATTCGAATTTTTTTTAATTATTGATGAATCAGCAAACACTGTTGTTAAGTGTGTAAATGTCCTTAATGTCAGTTTGGTATGTGCTTAGCATGCTTAGCCATGCATGCAACAAAACTTTAGAGTGATTCTACTTTTGTGGCCACATTAAATTCACTTCCTGCAATAAGTTTCCTTTTTCATGTAGGGACCAGTTTACTACCATGCTCCCCTGTGTTTCTTCCTGAATATATATATTAGACCTCTAGAGATGTTTTAATGAGTTATACGTACATAATACTTCTACCTTTCTCTGTCTTTCTGGTTGTTAAGTATGTGAGATGTGTATTTCTAACAGCAGTTGAGTGAATATTCACAAATCTATGATATAATTGAATTTTTGAATGTGTACGTCAAGAAGTTTATAGACTTGTATAGATAAATCATTAGTTTTCATTTGTCATATTCAGGATTTTCAAATCCTGATATTCTCTGTTTTTATCAGTGAATCTGTAAAAGGAAATACTTCTGGATTTTGAATGGTTTTCATAGCTTTTTTTATTTGTTTATGTAGACACTCTTCTTTGTTGAGTGCAAGTTACTGACCTGGTACTCTTATTTATAATTCTGACTGGTTCTTCAGTATTTTATCAAGCTGTAATTTATTAAAAACCACAAATATAAAATGGGGATATTAATGACAAGTGGTTTAAATGTGAGAGTTTCAAAATGCATGTTAGAATATTTCAATACTTTGTTCACTGTAATTTTACATTTTTTCATTACTCAAAGTAATTAAAAAAATCCTTAGGGTTGAATTATAGTAAAATTTTATACATCTCAGTACTAATTTTGTCTCCCAACAGACAGCAATAATTTAGATGGGATTGGTTTTACCTAATTTATTCTTGGAGGGGGGTTGGAAGAGAAAAATATTAACCTCGCAAATTTTGCTAATTATAATTTCCTTACTATTGTTGGTTGTTTTTAATAATCTCCATGCCTTTGGAAAGGTATTCTTCTATATTTTGAAGAAAAACATACAGATATACAGGGTTTTGTAATAGAATGTGTTTACAGTATTTATCTCCTGGGTTATTTGTAACAGTAAGGGGAAGTACAGTGACAGATATAACTTGCAATAGTTGCTAGTGTTATGTGCCTTTGAATCACTTTCTTTAGTTCGTTAATTTTTTTATTTTGTTTATTTGTATCTTAGATGGGGGTTAGCAGCTTTAAATCAGTTTCATTTCTATCAAAGTGGGTATGATGATACATTCTTACAGCTTTACTAGTCTTTAAATAATTTTCAGTCTGCAAGGTAAATGGTTGCATGAGTGGTTTTGAACTGTTTTAACTGCTCAGGTAAATTTCTTGGTTTCAAAAACTGCCAGAGTAGAGGGAGAACTTACCAGTCATATTTGGGTTTTTTTAATGCTTTCATTTTGTACTATATATAATCAGTGGGACTTTCTTACCACAATAAGTGTGCTGACTGTTGACTTTTTTAGTGTTCCCATACTTTGCACTGTCTTACTCATTAGAATTTAGCTTTCAAATAAATCCCTATCCATAGGCATCTGCTTTGTACCTTAACAAATATGAAAATAGTCAAAATATTTTGTGCTTGACAGAGAGACTGCATGTTTCTGAGTGTGAATAGCATTTAGCAGGCTTGTCTAGTTAAAAGACAGTTAAACTAGTAATCATACATGATCTGTGTCTAACTGTCGCTCGCAGAAAAAGTGCAACAAAGTGATGTGTGGTGATAGCAATTCAGAAGGAAAAGAATATGAAATTCAGATAGCAGCTTGAATGGTTTGCTGTTAGCATGGGGCCCAATAACACTACAAAGCTATAAACTCTGTCTTTCTAGATTGCCCAGTTAGGTGGCAGAGATGCAATTTGTCTTTTCTGAAGCCACCTGCTGCTTGCTAGCTCCATCTCCTGTCACAGCCTATTAGCTCCTCAAGAAAATTGGTGGGAAATTGCCTGCAGATTGTAGGAAATTGCATCTGCAGGCCCTGGAAAAAATGTAGGATAGCACAACACTGATCCTCCCAGAGCAGCTATTAATACAGCAAAAGCTGACGTTTGGCAGTGTGAAACAACTTTGCTGAATAAAGACTGTATTATATGAGGTTGAAAGAGGGAACAAATTATTATCCTAGCTATGCTTATAGTCAACCTGTTCTGGGGAGCTTAAGCATGAGTGGTAGTTTTTGCTGCCCCCCCAGCTCATTCCCATTGGAAGATGGGAGATGAGAAGTTACAACCTTATACAGAAAATTCCTTGTATAGATGGGCAAAACACGCTATATATTTAAATTGTGTTAGTATGTATAAAATTCAAATAATAAGTGACAAAGCTGAAAGATAATTTGTTAAGATTATATCAAAAAAATTGATAGGTGCCTCTGTTTGGTTGAGCCTTGGTCAGATTAGAAACAGCTTTTTGACTATTTCATTCTGTGTGTATATACATTTGATTTTGGAGCAGTTACAGTGAAATGGAACTGATTTGTACTGTAACTGTTGAGTGTAAAAATTCATGGAATAGACATTAGTTCTGATAGATTTTAGCATTAAATTTCTTGCTGCTATGAGGCTCACCTCTGTCTTGTTTAAACAAATTCCCATGTGCTTTTTATGGTGTGATATGCAATGAATTTCATCCTCTGTCATTTCTCCTAGAGCTACCTTTCTAATCTTGTACTTTACCTCAGTTTTTATAGGGCCTTTTAATAAAAAAGTT